AAAGTAGATAAATCAAACTCATAAAAATCTGAGCCTTTTTGTTTTAATGGATACCATGAAGAAAGTGAAAAGAACACACGAAATGGATAAAACAATTGTAAATCACTAATCTGATAAGAGACTTGTATCCAGAATCTATTACAAACTCTTAGAAATGAACAATAAAGGCACAAAATGTTTTTAAAGAATGGGCAAAGGATTTGAGCAAACACTTCTCCCAAGAAAATATACACTTAACATATCAAAAATGCTCAAGATACTAGTCACTAGGGAAATGGAAATCAAAATCAAAAGCTAATAAAAAAGAAAACAAGTGTTAGCAGGATGAGGTGAACTTGTAACCCTTACTCATTGCTGATAGGATTCTAAAATGGTGCAGCCACTTCAATTCCTCAAAATGTTAAACACAAAATTACCAGAAGGAAGTCCAAAATGATGCAGCCACTTTGGAAAAAACAGTTTGGTAGCTTCTCAAAATGCTGAACAGAGTTACCATATGACCCAACAATTCCAATCCTAGACATATTCCCTAGAGAAATAAAAACATATGCCCCCACAAAAACTTGTACACACATGTTTAGTGTAGCATTATACTTAAAAGTCAAAAAGTAAAAACAACCCAAATGTCCATAAACTGATGAATGGGTAAACAAAATATAACATATCCATATAATCAAACCTTTTTGGCAATAAAAATTAGTATTGACATATTCTACAAATGAAGAAACCTTGAAAACATTCTAAGTTTAAAAAGCCAATTACAAATGATAACAAATTATACAACTTAATTTAGAGACAGAAAGTATACCAGTGATCGCCAGAAGTTTGCAGTCTCTCTCTCTAAGATAAATGGGGTTTCCTGGTTTCTTTTTTGGAGGGAATAAAAAAGTTCTAAAATCAAATAGTAGTGATGGTTGCACAACTCTGTGAATATGGTAAAAACCAGTAAACTGTACACTTTAAAAGGGTGAATATGCTGGCATGTGAATTATATCTCAATAGGACTGACATCTGAAAAAAAACAAAAACAACTAAAGACACTAGTAAGGTTCATCTTTCCAGACCTCAACTAATTTGCAAATATATTTTCAATGAGCATCAATTCTACCACGTTCGTCAAGTAACAGGGATACCAAGATGAATAACATGATTCTCCACCCTCAGGGAATTTCCAGAAGGGCAGAAGATGTTCTCCATAAAGCCTCGCCAAACATGCGCAGAACACTTTACTCTGGACGGTCAAACAGCGTTTACATAAGAAGGGTATGTAGCATATTTGTTAAAATAAAGAAATAGCTCTGAATTACTAATCAGAGAATAAACTATTTTTATATACTATGCATACTTTGGAAGATTAGTAATCTTGGAGCTACAATCATGACACCAGTCATTGTTATCAGGAACAAGTTTCCTGAACATCTGCAGCCCAAATCAGAATACAGCGTGTTATCTTTTTTCCTTTGTCTTCCTTCCCCTGTCTATATTCCATATCCTGTTGGCTTATGATATTTAGGTAAAATAGTGATAGCTTCTGACTGATACGGAACAGCACAGCGATGGGGTAAACCCAGTGTTTTCTGCCGTGTTTCCTCTGTAAGATGCCCCATGTAGAAAGAGGCAGTAGCCTACTTACTCTGTCTTCCCAGGGCCTGCCACATAGTAAGTAGTAGGTGTTTACTGAATAAAAAATATTCCCACTGCATAAGCAGTATAAAGCAATCTTTGAGCATACCAACACCATTCTCATTATTTCCCTTCTGGATGTCTCACCCTTTTACCCTGTGACATATGTAATTATATTTGGTAAGGGAATAGATTCTAATTACTCAACTGAATTTTTGGAGTGGACAGAAGAAAAGAGGGAAGGATAAACACATGGTGCTATTCCAATTCTTTTAGATCAAAATTCATTTTCTTAACAACTGAGTTAAAGGTTATACATAACATAAACTTGCTTGTGAAAGGAAGAAAGCTGCTGTGTTGAAAGAATCTCAATACAATTTAGCTGAATTTGTTTAAAATCAAGATCTTTTTGTATACCACTATGTTTAGACTAACTGGCGTCTTGGGCAAATCAGTAAGCCTCAGATTCCTCCTTTCTAAAACTGGAATAGTATCTGTCTCTCAGGACTGTTATAGAGTTAAATGGGAAAAGAAGTGTGAAACAGCTATAAGTGATCAGAAGCATTCTCAGCACAACATATCATTGCTATTTATGTGCAGCTTGCATGCACTTAAAACTAATACAATTCACTCAGCACACATTCACTGAAACTGGATGGGTGTCTCCCACCTATGTATCATGCAATATTTTTCTCAGAGAATAAAATGACCTTGCCGGTCCTTTACTGAAAGTATATCCCAATAACTTAGTATTCTTAAATCTAAAAAAATATGAAGAGGCTTGCTAAATTCTCAGGTCCCAGTGTTATAATTCCTTGATAAATTCAAGCTCAAAGAAGGAAAAGGCATACAAAATTAACCTTTGCAAAGCTCTATTAGAAACTATGAATGGGGGTACTTCCGGTAAAGATGGCGGCGTAGGTAAATGCAGTATCGTGTCCTCCCACAACCACATCAAAGTTACAACTAAACTACAGAACAACCATCATTCAAAACAGCCTGAAATCAAGCTGAACGGAAGTCCTACAACTATGAAATTAAAGCAGCAGCCACATCCAGAGTGGTGCGAGGGGCGGCGGCGGTGGGCAGGACGGGCTGGTCTCACACCCACATGTGGCGGATAAAAATCAGGAGGCTCCCGAGGCTGGGAAGGTCCTTCCTGAGGACTGAGGGGTCCCCGTCCCACACCAGGTCCCATGCTCAGGGTTCCAGTGCCAGGAAGAGAAGTCCCCATAACTTCTGGCTGGAAAAACCAGTGGGAACTGAGGCCCAGGGAAGCTGACGCGGCTGGAGCCCCAGGCAGCTCCTTAAAGGGCCCGCGCACGGACTTATCGGACTCTCTCCCTCTAAGCTTGGAGGGGAGGCAGCTCCAGGGGTGCCAGAGACATACAGGGAAGAACTGAGCTGTTTGGCACTGGAGCGAGGGCTGGAGAGGGGGCTTTCTCGGGGACAAACGTGCTGTCAGAGGCCTTTGTTCCTTTGGTGAGCCCTTCCCAGGAGCCGCAGACAGTCCCCATATCTGGGACTCCAGCAACCTGGCTCACACTGGTAGCCCCGCCCTGCTGACTCCCTGAGGCCCCGCCCCACCCAACTTTCAAGCCCACCCAAGCTGTTGCCACTTGCTTAACCATAGGATTGGCCGGTCTTGGATCCTGCTTCAGGTTTTTCCTAAATTCTTTCAAACGAGCAGCATCTGGTCTCAGAGAGCCCCATATCTCTCATTAAGTAATACACTGAAACAAACACAGGGAGGCAGCCAAAATGAGGAGACAAAGAAACAGGTCCCAAATGAAAGAACAGAACAAAACCCCAATAAAAGAACTAAGCGAAATGGAGATAAGCAACCTAACAGATACTGAGTTCAAAATACTGCTTATAAGGATGCTCAATGAACTTAGTGAGAATCTCAGTGAACTTAGGGAGGGCCTCAAGAGCATAAAAAAGGACCAGTTAGAAATCATGGATACACAGTTAGAATTAAAGGAGGCATTAACTGAAATAAAGAATAATTTACACAGCTTCAATAATAGAGTATGTAAATCCAAGGAGCAAACCATCGATTTGGAATATAAGGAAGCAAAAAATGCCCAATCAGAACAGCAAAAAGAAAAAAGAATCCAAAAAAATGAGGATAGTGTAAGGAGCCTCTGGGACAACTTCAAGCGTGCCAACATTCACATCTTGGGGGTGCCAGAAGGAGAAGAGAGAGAACAAGAAATCGAAAACCTGTTTGAAACAATAATGGCAGAAAACTTTCCTAACTTGGTGAAGGAAACAGACATACGAGTCCAGGAAGCGCAGAGAGTCCCAAACAAGATGAACCCCAAGAGGCCCACACCAAAACACATCATCATCAAAATGCAAAAGGTTCAAGACAAAGAGAGAATCTTAAAAGCAGCAAGAGAAAGGCAGCTAGTTACCTACAAGGGAACTCCCATAAGGCTGTCAGCTGATTTCTCAAAAGAAACTTTGCAGGCCAGAACGGAGTGCCAAGAAATATTCAGTGATGAAAACTAAGAACCTACAACCACGATTACTCTATCCTGCAAAGCTGTCATTTAGAATCGATGGCCATATAAAGACTTTCCCAGACAAGAAAAAGTTAAAGGAGTTCATCACTACCAAACCATTATTATATGAAATGATGAAGGGTCTTTTTGAAATAAAAGATAAAATGTATGAACAAACAAAATAGCAATGAATACATATCTATCAACAATGGAATCTACAAACAAAATGAACAGGTAGAACAGAAACATTCTCATAGATACAGAGAACATTTTGTTGGTTGCCAGTTGGGAGGGGGGTGGGGGGAATGGGTGAAAAAGGTGAAGGGATTAAGAAGCACAAATTCGTTGTTAGACTGACAAAACTCAAAGGAAAAGGGGTTGAGGGGGGGGGGGGTGGGAAGAAATAAACCAAAGAACTTATATGCATAACCAATGGACACGGACAATAGTGTGGGAAAAGGTGGGAGGCGGGCGGGAGTGGGGAGGAGGGGGTCAATGGGGGAAAAATGTGGAACACCTGTAATACATTTTACATCCAACAATGAAGATTTGGAAAAAAAAAAAGAAACTATGAATGGTACATTTTATTTTATTTTTGAAAAATTCTTTGGTGCATCATAATGAAAAGTATAGTGTTTTAATAATTTTTTTATGAATTTATCTTTAGAGAGAGAGAGAAGGAAAGGAAAGGAGAGAGCAAGAGAAGAGAGAAACACTGATTTGTTGTTCCACCTACTGATGCATTAAATGGTTGATTCTTCTATGTGGCTTAACCAGGAATTGAACGCACTCTAACCAACTAAGCTATTGGCCAGGGCGAAAAGTATAGTTTTAAAGTTATCTTCTTGGTAATTAAAAACTACTTACCTTTGCAGCACAGGCTCGTATTACCTCCTAAAAGAAATACAAAAAGTAAAGAAACATTAATAATTTCATTTAAATAAAATACCAAGTTCTTTCAACAGTCAGTTTTAATAACTGAAACCTACATTTGGGAGTGTTTCTTTATTACCCTGCATCTGTCACTCCATATTGTGTCCAGTGAGGAGAAAAGAGTGTAAGTTAAAGAAAGGCTCAATGACATGTTCTTGGTAAACCGAACTTGCCAAAACATAGGCACTGATAAACGAGACTCTGGAGGACCCACATGTAACTATCTCAAGGAAAACTTGTGTTCTCAATAAACTTAGCATGAATACTAAAATTCTGAACCAGAACACTAACATGTCTAGAAGACATACCCTGAATTAAATGAAGTGTATAATTATCTCCATAAATAACCGACATAAATATAATTCCCATGTTAATAATATATGTCAGAGGAAATCTAATACTAACACAACTGAATGGTAAAGTAGCTGACTAGTTCTGAAGAAGCTACAGAAAGGAACTGCCTATAATTCATGGAACAAGGCCAAGAAAAGATCACTTTTGAAAAAGTAGTTCGTAAAAATCAACATATACTGGATGATTTGAAAGTTTGCTACTAAGGAGACACAAAAAATACTCAAGTCTATTAAGATGAACCAGCATATATCATCAGCCTATTACAGAACTAGAGAAAAATAACAATTAATGTTGAGGTTGGGTGGGGGGGACTGAAAAGAGGAACATCAATTTTTTATCCAGAAATTTCTAAGGGCCAGATACCATATCTAAAGAATATTAGTAATTCAATCACTAAAAGGAGACAGTAAAATTGACTGTGGATATGAGATTCTGATTGCCTGGACTGCATTTCAGCTCCAACCTTGGTGATACTGCTTTATCTCTGTAAGCCTCAACTTTGTCTTCTGTAAAATGCAGTAATAATAGCATCCACATTATAGTATGGGTTTAAGGATTAAATACAATGAACGTGTAAAGCACTTAGCTCAGTACTCAAAAGTTATTATTCAGTTATTACTCATCATTAAATAGATGTTAGTTATCACCAATCATTATAAGAAGAACTCTCCTGTGGGGTAAAGAAAATTAACCTCTTTGCAGCTGGAAAGGTATACCTTTCATTCTAAAATGTTTTTTAAGTTTATAAATCAACTTTTTGTTTTCTTGATTACTCTTACTAGGGTATCCCAAATTTTGAGCAATCCTGGATGCACTGATAAGAACTTAGAATGAGTTGTGCAACACTCTTAACATATTATCTACCTGTGAGGTCTATCTGGGTTACAGTATGCCTTTTAGGTATTGCTATAACAGCAACATAATCAAGTCTTTTACATATAGAACAGTTAAATGACTTATATTATGACTAAATGATAAAGCTACTAAGACAGAATTATTTACTTTTGATATCCTTTACTCAGTGAGTAAACACCTATAAAGTACCTGCTGAACTGAATTTATTATGCAATTCACACACATATACACATAGACACACAAATCACACCCTAAACTGCAATGTATTTTATTAGAAAAACATTCCAGTTGTGGTTATAAAGAAAAAAGTATCTTTAGTACTACAGCTTTTTATAATATAGATGTAATATAGTCTTTTCTATTAGACTTCTATATAGAAGACCAGTAATATAGTTCCTAATAGACTTATAACAATCTAACAAAAAAAAATTATATGTGGCAATTACAGGAAAAAAGAGAAAAGGCATCATGACAAAAGGTAGAATTCTAGTCAATCTCAATGCTTGCAAAATATTTTTAAAAATAGAGCTGCCATGGGAATAAGGATGACATTTGATTTTATTCCCATACATGCTAGATACATTCTGAAAGAAAATACATTGCTCATAGTACCTGAAAAAAAGGTCAGTGAATTCTCTCAAAACAGAAAAAAATGGTTTCTCAAAAACCACAAACAGACAAAACTTTCATTTCTAATGGCAGCCTTGATCTACCTCAACCCCAAAACAAACATACTCTCTAAATAATTTTTAAAAGGAAAGATTTGGTTAACATGAAATAAATTAATAATTCTAAGAGAAATATGTTTTTCTCTTAGAATAAGTTATCAATTTTCTTCCTTCTTGTCTTTGATTTCGTATCTTAAGAAATGTTTTTCTGATTTTGTTTTTCCTTTATATCTACTTTTTTTGTTCTTACATCCATTTATTTCCCTGAGGATGATAGCCATATAAGATGATATAGGAGAGGGCAGCTCGGGTGGGACAGTCGCCAGGGATGGCGGAGTATGAGGATGGAGCGGGTGTCGGGGCTGCTCTCCTGGACGCTCAGCAGGGTCCTGTGGCTCTCGGGCCTCTTTGAGCGGGGAGCTGCCTCTCATGGAAGAGAAAGCTCTAGAGGTTTATGATTTGATTTGAACTATCTGGGACCCAGAGAAGCCCAACCCTTTGGAAGAACTGGAAGTGGTAACAGAAAGTTGAGTGGAGATTCAGGAGATAGATGAAGAGGACTATTTGGTTATTATCAGGTTCACTCCAAAAGTACCTCATTGCTCTTTGGCGACTCTTATAGGGCTGTGTTTAAGAGTAAAACTTCAGGGGTGTTTACCATTTAAACATAAGATGGAAATCTACATTTCTGAAGGAACCCACTCAACAGAGGAAGACATCAACAAGCAAATAAATGACAAAGAGCGAGTAGCAGCTGCAATGGAGAACACCAACTTACAGGAAATCATGGAACAGTGTGTCCTTGAACCTGACTGATAGCTATTTTAAGAGCCAGTGAACTCTGTTTGATATGTTTGCTTAAATTCTTTGTAAAATGTAAAAGACTCATGTTTAATACATAGGTGATTTATACTTCAAAGCATTTTTTTCAAAGATGATTTCCAAGCAAGATTTAGTTAAAAGGTAGTACTTAGTTTGTTCAGTGTATAATATTCTCAGGATTTGTAACACTTGAATGATCAGACAGAAAAATATTTTCCAGTTATTATATGTAAGATGAGTTGCTATTTTTCTGATGCTCATTCTGAAACAACTGCATTTCATGTCAAATATTTACTGTGCCCAAATGTATTCAGTTCAGATCATTATTCTGTAAAAGAAATAAAACAGAGATGATTCCTGTAATGACAAAAAAAAGAAAAGATGATATAGGAGAAAAGCTACAAGACCAAAGTGATTCTAGAACGTTAAGTTTACAGTGTAAAAACTGATAGATTGTAGAAAACTTGCTTTTATATACCTATCTGTGAGTTGCTCTTAAGTCTGTAAAGGAAATTATTTTGCCATGCATGATTTTAGGCAAGGGGCACTTTTCTTTCCTTGTGAAGAAACGTTTCTCTAATTTTTAAAACACTATCTGTTCATAGTTCCTTTCAAAATGCAACACCATGCACTATTCAGTTATTTTAAATGTTAAAATATATTTTTTAAAATTTATCTTTATTGAAAGTATTACAGATATTCCCCTCCCTTTTTCCCCCCCACTGACCCCTTCTACCCCACTCATGCCACCTCCCCCTACTTTCACCACACTATTGTCTGTGTCCATGGGTTATGCACATATGCATATAAATTATTTGGTTAATCTCATCCCACCCCCACTTCCCTCTGAGATCTGTCAGTCTGTTCCATGCTTCCATGTCTCTGTATCTATTTTGTTCATTAGTTTATTTTGTTTGTTACATTACACATATAAGGTGCAATCATGTGATACTTGTTTTAAATATAAATAATTATAAAACTGAAATTTACTAATTTATAGCCATATATTCTAAAATGCATACTGAGCAGTATAAAAGCATTTTCTCCATAGTCCAACTAAACCTAAACCCAGGGCCTGAGTGTAATCTGTGCTGTGGCACACCTTAAACTCTCTAACTTTCAATGGAACAAAAGAGACACGAAGAAAGTATAGTAGGAACTAAAGGCGTCTCAATGTAGTTCCTCACATGTTTGGTTTAAAACTGGTAAAAAACAAACAAACAAACAAACAAACAAACAAACAAAAAACTGGTGGAGTCCTATCAAAGGAGGAGGGAAAAGGATAATATTTCTTAAGTGCTAGACACTTAAGGTCAAAAGGTAAGAACACAACAAGGCTCAAGCCTGAACAGTCCCTGTCTTTAAGAAATTCAGGGCCAGCCCTGACCAGTTTGGCTCAGCGGTACAGCGTCGACCTGCGGACCAACGAGTCTCGGGTTCGATTCTGGCCAAGGGCACGTACCTTGGTTGCAGTTTGGCCCCGGCCCCGGTCGTGTGGAAGGCAACCAGCCTCTGTGTCTCTCTCACACTGATGTTTCTCTCTCTTTCTCCCTTTCTTTCCCTCCCTCTGACTCTACATGAAAACAAACAGAAAAATATCCTGAGGTGAGGATTAAAAAAAAAAAAGTTCAGGGCCAATTCTAAATAAAAGAACTATTATGGTCAAAGAACATAAATATTTTTAAGAATGTTTAAGCTTCTCAATATATTTTACACTAATCTTTGAGAAAGACTTTACAAGTCATTTATCACTAACAGAATGCTACACGAATTTTAACCAAGCATCCTCTTCTTCATTTTCATTATCTATTTTCTAGTTTTATAGGTAATACCTGGTTTCTAAAGTACTTCTTTTCTTAGTAGTGAGATAGAATTTTTAAATATGTTCATGACACATTTGTATCTTCTCTTTTTGGAAGCACAATTCTTTGTTGAAGTCAATTTTTCTTTATTTTTTGCATACAAAGGCTGTTCCTTTAATATATTTTATGTATATATTTTCTCAGGTTGGTGCTTGGTGTGTGTGTATGTGTGATGTATATATGCACACATACACTGATATATATTATAAATATATATATGTGTGTATGTATATATATATATTTAATTGATTTTAGAGAGGCAGAAAGGGGGGGAGAGAGAGAGAGAGAAACATTGATGTGAGAGAAACACATTCATTGGCTGCCTCCCACATATGACCTTACTGGGAACCAAATCCACAACCTGGGTACGTGCCCCGATTGGGAATTAAACCAGCGACCTTCAGGTGCATGGGATGATGCTCCAACCAACTGAGCCACAACAATCAGGGCCACACACTGGTATTTTTAAATAAAGAATCAGGTCCTGGGCTGGTCTTTACAGAGATATCAAGTCAGGAAAGTGTTATAGATTATCCTAAATTCAGTCTGTTTATTAAAGTTAGTGATTTTAGAACAAGTACTAGAAAGGGACTATAAGAAAGCCTAGTTTTAAGTGAACTAACTTACTTCATTAAATTAATATTTGTTGGCATGACAATGTGAACTAGGATAGAAATGGTTTTAAAATTTTCAACTTCTCAACTGCATAAAATAAACCTACTGTGACGGAATCGAGTCTTTGTTTCACTTGCTGCATCTTCATTGAAGAGTCTTCAGTGCGGACATAGTCATCAATCTGAAAAGAGCCTTGCTGAGGCAGTTTAGGACAGGTGCATAAAGCATCTTGACTTTGGTGTATTCCAGGGAAGGGAAAGGTTCCATTGTAGCGTTTGAACATTTCAGCTTCCTGCTGGGCAACTAGAAAAATTAGTCCCTATTAGTTCAAATCATAATGGCGAAGGCATAATGAAATAATTAAGCTACCTAACTGTGGCATTAAATAAATAAGAAGCTGCATCATACATTTCAAATACTGGGCAATAATAAGACAACATGAGTGGCAAATGTGAAATTATTAAATACTATAGAACCACAAAGAAGACTTCATAGATAATTTCATGTCAGGCAGTATTATAATTGAGCCTTGAAGGCTATGCATTATCTTGGTCTGGTAAATATAACAAATTGAATGGAAGCCTGATTTGAAATATATGTGTATGCAAAAAAATCAAAAGCATAATATAATAGAAGTAAAGAAAATGCAGCCTTGGCCAATTTGGCTCAGTGGTTAGTGTTGGCCCAAGGACCAAAGGGCCACGGGTTTGATTCCCGATCAAGGGCACATACCTGGGTTGCAGGTTTGATCCCCAGCCCTAGTTGGGGTCATGCGGAGGCAACTAATCGATGTGTCTCTCTCACATCGATGTTGATGTTTCTCTCTCTCTCCCTCCTTCCATCACTTCCTACTTTCCACTCTATCAAAAATCAATAGAAAAATATCCTCGGGTGAAGATTAAGACAAAAAAAAAGGAAAGCAAAATTATTCACAAATCAATCTCAAATGATTTTTTTAACTAGTTAAAAATAACAAAAGACTTTGCCTAAATATTTGTTTATTTTACTAGGTATTAAGATGCCTTTCAGAAAGGGTTAAAATGGCCTAACTGGATGCAGATAACAAAGTAAACCCCAAATTATAAAAATTTTTTCAGTTGTCTAAAGGGAATTTTCTACACAAAAACATCTGATTAGATTTAAAGAAGTCAAATTGACATCCTACTTTGTCTTCAGCACCTCCTTCTGTGAAGACAACCATTAAAAACATCTGCAGAAATATTCACAAAGACCTAGTTTCTCTGATACTAGAAACAGAAAGAAGCTGTTTGCTTCTGTTCTTTCATTCTTCCCCTCCCCCATCTTACACAAATTATTCATCTATCTGTGTAAAATCATACAGATTACTTTATTATAAAAACACATTATAATTGATGATTTTGAAAATTCCTTAAAACTCTATGCATCTAACATTTCAAAGGTTTCTAAAGCACTTTTACACAGGCCATGAGAGGAGTATAATGTTGCAATTAAATAATTGTATTTCTTTACCATTTTCTCTTTCTTGTGATAGCTTAACTTTGTACATTTAAAACTTAGTTTTAATCTAACCTGGTATTTCTAAAACATACAATTTTAACAGTTACACCCCCACTTAGGAGTACACTACTGCAGGCTCTGAGAATACAAGAATACCAAACCCTTCTTGGGGTCTGAATCTTTTGGGGGTCACTAAGAAATTACTGCTATGTGCTTAGCACAGCAGAAAAATGCACATGGTGCCAGGACACAGAGGTGGCAACTACATTTGCTTAAAGGATGTTTTATCAACCAAAATACTTCTACAATTACCTCTATTATCTGTAATTTGGGACTCTAAATTTTACAAAATTAAAAAAAAATTCTTAAAGTGTTTTCAGGATTGACAATCCTTTGATTTATATAAGTTCTGTGCTTTTGTGTATCTTCTGGACTTTAAACAATTATAAAAAATAATGTGGTTTTCTCAGGAGATTTTTATCTTTATAGGAGGAAGAATGGAGGAAATAAGATATTTTAATCCAGTGCCCTCTGCATTCAGATCGAATCCATGGTTTATTATCATTAATATCTATGTGTACTTATGTTATTAACTTTAAAATAAAGTACAACTAGAAACAACATATTCTTCCACTTACACTATATTAACAGTAAGATTTTCTTTTAGTTCAACATTTAATTCCTTTGTTCAAGACCTGTTATTTATATAGCCCTGCTACTATATACTCATCTTACTGGATATCTAATTCCTTTGCTTATAAGTTATTCTACTTCTAATTACAATATGATTAATGTAAGCTATTAGGTCTACTTCTCTAGCTTCCCAGCATTCAGCAGGTATGCAGCGCCCGCCTTTTCTTCCTCTAACATCTGTTATGTGTAGAGAATTTCTGTAGTCCAAATGTTTGTGTCCCCTCAAAATTCATATGTTGAAATCCTAACTGCCAAGGTGATGGTGTTAGGAGGTGGATTCTTTGGGAGGTGATTAGATCATGAGAGCAAAGTCCTCATGAATGGGATTAGTGCCCTTATAAAAGAGGCCCCAGAGAGCTCCCTTGCCCTTTCCACCATGTCAAGTTACAGACAGAAGATGCAGTCTATGAACTAGAAAGTGGACTCTCCCTGGACACTGAGTCTGGTGGTGCCTTGATCTTGGACTTCCCAGCCTTCAGAACTATAAAAAATAAAATTCTGTTATTTATACATCATCCGAATGGACTAAAACAATAATGTCAAGGGCTTATAATGTTTTTTACTATATTTTACTGGGCCTGACTTGTTCCTGCTTTAGCTAATCTGTGGACAAATCCAAGAAGTTATATTGAGTAGCACTTTAATTCTAGTAGCCTGGGTGTATTTCAGGTCCTGTTAGTAATCTTGTACTTCATTGATACATTTTATGTCAAGTAGAAATAATAATGTCACTAAAAAAAACTGTTCAAAAGCTATAAAAGAAAGTGCAACAGATTCATGTCTCATAGCCATCCAAATGAGATAGCAACTACCATCATTTATCAAATCTATTAGTTGAACACCAAAATACAGTAAATTATTTCCAAATTCCCTTAAGTACATGCTATTGTTCTTTTGTTGGTTTTCTTTTCCATTACCCACCCATTATCATACATCATGCTATTCCGCTGAAAGTGTGTAATGTGTCTATTGCTACAAAAAATAGCTGTAATCTCTCAACTGCAGCCTGGTTCATGAACTCTAACATATCTAAACTTTGTCTTGCTTTACAGTTTCATTTTATCCTTTGACATAACACTGAGATAAAATAAAACAGGTATCATTTAAATTCCACAGGTGAGCCCTGGCTGGTTTGGCTTAGCAGTTAGAGTGTTGGCCCATGGACCAGACAGTCCCAGGTTTAGTTCCCACTAAGGGCATGTACCTCAGTTGCAGTTTGTCCCTGGCCCTGGCTGGGGTCGTGTGGGTGGCAACCACTCAATGTATCTCTTTCGCATCGATGTTTCTCTCTCTCTCTTCCTCAGGTGAGGAAGGAAGGAAGGAAAGGAGGAAGGAAGGAAGGAAAGGGAGGGAGGGAGGAAGGAAAGGGAGGGGGGAGGAAGGGAGGAAGGAGGGAAGGAAGGAGGGAAGGAAGGGAGGAAGGGAGGAGGGAGGGAAGAAAGCAAGAAATTTCACAAGGGAAAAAACACTAAGAAACACTGAGGGAGGGAGGGAGGGAGGAAGGAAGGAAGGGAAGAAGAAAGGGAGGAAGGAGGGGAGGAAGGGAAGGAAGGAGGGGAGGAAGGAAGGAAGGAAGGAAGGGAGGAAGGAAGCGGGGAAGGAGGGAAGAAAGAAAGAAATTTCACAAGGGAAAAAACACTAAGAAACACTAAGTTATCAGACAAGTATCAAACAAAATGTGATGGCATTTCGTCTAGAACCCCAATACTCTTAACTCCTACTCAGGCCTTTCCTACCCCACTGTTGTTTATTCTGCACCACACCGCTCTTCTTCTTTATAAAAGCACCTATGTAAGCATAAAAAATGCCTGGATGCCCAGCTGGTGTGGATCAGTGGTTGAGTGTCGACATGCACCAAGAGGTGGCTAGATCGATTCTGTTCAGGGCACATGCCCAGGTTGTAGGTTCACTCCTCAATGGGGGGCATGCAGGAGGCAGCCAATTGATGTTCTCTCTCATTGATGTTTCTATCTTTCTCTCCCTTTCCCTTCCTCCCTCTCCAAAATCAATAAAGAAAAGCAAATTAAAAAAAAAAAAAAATGCCTGGATGAAGAATTCAGGGCTATGGCTTAAGTGCCAAACCATGAAATTGACTAAGTTTTCCATGTCTTCAATCTTTAAATGACATAGCTTTCAAATCAAAGTATCAATTAGTGAAGAATATTAAAATAGATGCTTCGGATATGAGCAAGAAATAGGTAGTTGTAGCATGTCTTAAAATGTGGCGTTTTATTTTTTAATTTATCCTATTAGGCTAATAATAAATATTTAAAACTCTGACCTATAATCAGTTACTTCTGTTACTGTATAATCTTACACAAGTATGATGATTACAAAATCTGAGTTTGCTTTCCATTCATCATTAATACTTCAAAAATACCATTAAATTATACATAAAACTATAGATATCAAATTTATTTCAACTAGACATTATCTTATTGCAAAAATATTGTAAAAGTAGTTACATTAAAATTTAATGCTACATAATAAAGAAAATTCTTATGTTGGACTACAATGAGAATGGTGTAATGCATTATAATTACCCTGTAAATTTGTAAAGGAATAAACTATTAATAATACTAGATAAGCAAAGTTCCTTTTAATCTTAGGGGTTCTCCTAAATATTAAAATTAAAAACAACACATTCCATCAGTAGCTGTGACAGATAGCTTAATGGTTTAAGAGCATGGGCTCTGGAGTCGGGAAGCCTAGATCAAGCTTGGCCAATCACCAACTGTGTGGCCTTGGGCAAATTACTTCATTCTCTCTGTACCTCAGTTTTATCATCAAAATGAGGATAATAACAGTATCTACCTCATGGGGTTTAGGGAGTTCTGTATGTGATAATATATGCAAAATGCTCATTAGCGTTGGGGACATATAATAAATGCTTGATAGATGTTAGCTAATATTACCACTATTAATATTAGCTCCAAATCTATTAACTGATCATACCTTTCATTCTATATTTTTATAAAATTTAAGGAAAACATGCTATTTTACAGAATCTATAATTCTTATTTCAAACATTTACTGCACATCAGTAATATACCAGGTGCTGTGTTACACATAGGGCATTATAAACACCATGGACTTTGGGTCAAACAGTAAGTTATACAACAAAAATTTTT